GAATGTGATCCTCAAAACAATCAACTATATGAGACCAAAAGGAGAATCTTTGAATCTCTGCCACAAAACCAAAAACAAAAAGAGAGGAAAGGACAGGGAAACAAGATAAATGGAAATGAGAAACCCAGAGAGGAGATGGGGAAAGGGCTGACACATTGTGGAGATTTCAATTAATATCACAAAACATTCTATGTCTGAACTATTAATTGAAATATAAAATCTCTAACTAAAAAATATCATAAAAAAAAACCAAAATAATCTTTAAAAAATAATAAAAATACCAAGCCAGCGTTGTCAAATTGATACTAACTCATAGCAACACTATGCTGTTGTTGTCGTTAAGTGCTGTCGAGTCGGTTACAACACATGGTGACCCTGTATAGGATTTCCAAGGAATAGTTTGGTGGGTTTGAACTGCCAACCTTGTGGTTCACAGGCCAGTGCCAATCCTACAGCACCACACCAGGAGTCCAAGAACACAGTAAAACTACCACACAGGTGTTCCAAGGCTGTAAATCTTTACTGAAACAGACTGCCACATCTTTCTCCCGCAGATGGACTGGTGGGTTTGAACTGCCAACCTTACAGTTTTCAGCCTAGTAATTTAATCACTGCATCACCAGAACTCCTCTAATAATATTACCAGGGTTACTTTCCTTAACTATAACTCAATATGAAAAATAATGAACTCTCTAATATTGAAAAACAGAGAAAGAATAAGAGTATTTCATTAACAAAAAAATATCAAAAAGGGCAATGAAAGACTTAAAGAGCTCAACTTTAGTCACAGTCTTAAAAAACATAAATATGATTGATAATATCAAAAAGTCTGATGATCACAGTATTGGCAAGGATGTGGGGAAATGAATACTTTGGTAATATATAAATATATTGCTGATCAGGATTTAAATTAATATAAACCTTCTAGGAGGGTAATTTTAGAGTCCTTGTATGATGTTTTGGGATAAGCACTGAACTGCTAACCACAAGTAGGCTGTTCAGACCTACCAGTCATTTCTTGGAAACCCTACACAGGGTCTCTGTAGAGCCAACTCAACAGCACTTAGCCACAAAAACAACAGGAGACTAATTTGTAACATACATCAAGTTGGAAACTACCTGGTTCCTGATAGTTTTCTCCACTTTTGAGTTACAGTAGTTGTTGATGTTAGGTGCTATATAGTTCCGACTTGTAACAACCCAATGCACAACAGAATCAAACACTACCCAGTCCTGCACTATCCTCACAACTGCTACTAGGTTTGAGCCCACTGTTGCTATCACTGTGTCAAACCATCTCATTATGGGTCTTCTTTTTAGCTGACCCTTCACTTTGTCCTTCTCCAGGGACTGGTCCCTCCTGATAATATGTCCAATGTATGAAAGACAAAAATCTCTCCATCTTGCTTTTAAGGAGAATTCTAGTTGTAGTTCTTCCAACTAACAGATTAGTTAGTTCTTCTGTCAACCTATAGCACTTTCAATATTCTTCACCAATAACATAATACAAATGCATCTGTTCTAAGGTCTTCCTTATTCATTTTCCAACTTCACATGCACACGAGGATACTGAAAATATCATGGCTTGGGTCAAGTGAATCATAGTCCTCAAAGTGACATCTTTGCTCTTGAACACTTTAAAGAGGTCTTTTGCAGCAGATTTGCATAATGCAATTAAGTCATTTGATTTCCATGAGCAACGCTTACGAATCCACGTAAACTGAAGTATTCAACAACTTCTTTTCTTTTCTCCATCTATCATGCATGATGTTATTTATTAGTCCAGTTGTGAGGATTGGATTTTCATTTTCTTTACATTGAGGTACAATCCATACTAAAGACTAGTCTTTATTCTTCATCAGAAAGTATTTCAAGTCCTCTTCACTTTTAGCAAGCAAGACTGTGTCATCTGCATATCACAGGTTGTTAATGTTTTCCTCCAATCCTGAAGCCATATTCTTCTTCATATAATGAAGTTTCTCAGACTATTTGCTCAGCATACAGATTGGGTAATTGTGATGAAAAGATACAACCTTGATGCACACAACTTTACTGATTTGAAATCATTCATTATATCCTTGTTCTGTTCCAACTACTGCCTCTTGGTCTATGTACAGGTTCCTTATGAGTACAATTAAGTGTTGCAGAGTACCCATTCTTCACAATGTTAGACATAGTTTATTATGATCCACACAGTCAAATGACTTTGCATAGTTAATAAAGCAAAAATAAATATCTTTCTGGTACTCTCTGCTTTCAGCCAAGATCCACCTGACATCAGTAATGGTGTCCCTCGTTCTACACCCTATGCTAAATCCAGCTAGAATTTCTGGCAATTCCCTGTCAATGTACTGCTGGAAACGCTTTTGAATTATCTTCAGCAAAATTTTACTTGTGACAATAATGATATTGTTTAATAATTTCCACATTCCATTGTGGCATCTTTCTTTGGAATGGGCACAAAAATGGATCTCTTCTAATTGGTTGGCCAGGAAGTTGGCTTCCAAATTTCTTGACCAAGACAAGTGAGTGCTTCCAGTGCTTCATCAGGTTGTTGAAAATTTTCCATCTGTACTCCATAAATTCCTGGAGGCTTGTTTTTTGTCAATGCCTTCAGTACTATTTGGACTTTCTCCTTCAATACCATTAGTTCTTGATCATATAGCACCTCTTGAAATGTGAACATCAACTGATTATTTTTGGTAGAGTGACTGTTTATTCTTTCCATCTTCTTTTGATGAATATTTGTCCATGTTGCTGTTGTTAAGTGCTGTCGAGTCAACTCCAACTCACAGCGACCACGCATAATTTCTGAGGAGCAGTTGGTGAGTTTGAACTGCTAACCTTGCGGTTCACAGTCAAGTGCGGTATTGCAAGTCGAGGCTTGAATTTCTTTCTACAGCTCTTTCAGCTTGAAAACGTTGAGCATGTTCTTCCCTTTTGGTTTTCAAACTCCAGGTCTTTGTACATTTCATTTTTTAGTAATACTTGAAAATAAATTTCCCTATCTCAAGCAGTTTTTGTTCAATTCCTTCATAATATCTCTTATGGTGGTGGTGGTTGTATGCTATGGAGTCAGTTCTGACTCATACCAACCCTGTGTAGGGTTTCCGAAGCTGTAAATCTTTATGGGAGCAGAAAGCCTCATCTTTCTCCCGCGGAACAGCTGTTAGTTTTGAACTGCTGATCTTCAGGTTATAAGTCCAACCCGTGACCATTACACTACCAGAGTTCCTTAAGATCTCCTATAAGCGGTAGCACTTAGAAGGTATTCTCTCTTAGAGAACAAGAAAACAAGCCATAAACCTATGTTCTACTTTTCTATTTAACTTCCAAACAATTATGTATAGCAACCATAACCACTACTTATAGCAACCTGTAATTAAACGCTTTTATGGAACTCTTCTCAATAATCTTATAAGACCTCAACATTCATATAATCCACTTTTGACTTTACTGAAATTAATAGTCTTACATGTGTTTCTTCTTTACTTTTAAATGAACTCCTTCCCCAGCTCCTTTTTTTCACTATATTCTTTACAGATTATATAACCCAGTTTTCCTCCTTTTCCTAAATGAGTTACTGCCTTTGGGACGGTGTTCATTCAATACTTTCCTTTGATCACAAAAATTACCATCCTTTTCCTTTCTTGCGTCTTTGAAGCTATCTCTTACTTCCTTGTACTTTCTTTCAGTCTACTTATACATGCTTTCACTAAGTCACTATTATTGTAGCTTCTAATCACGTAAAGGTCATTATATGAAACCACAGTAGTGAAAGTATTACCCAGATGTGTTCCAAGTATAGGGAAAATAAAACTGATTATATGTAATTTAATTTAAAAAATTAGAAACACAAGTTTATGAATACTAAATACAGATAAATTATAATGATATTTTACATTTGAAAGAGAGGAAAAAAATGACAGAATAAGTAAAATGGGACAATAAGCAAACATCACTAACAATCAATGCAATGCAAATTAAAACAAAATTGAATCTGCTATGTAGAAGCTTAAAAAAAAGATAAAAATTAAACAATACAGTTGCCCGCATTTTAGAAACAGAGGTACAGACTTTTCAGAGGGAAATTATGTTCCATGACTTCACATTCTGACGTCTAAGAATTTATTTTTTAAAGAAAAGTAGCCATGGTCTCAAAAATAAGGATGTTCAACAAAGTCCTGTTCAAAAAAATAATGAAATTTAAAACCTAAATGTCTAAGAACTTGAGATTATGGTACATTAATAAAATAGGTAAATATACAGCCTTCTAAACAACTACATGTTTTCATATTTATTGACAAGGAAAGTATATACCAGGACATACTACTAAAACAAAATAAAAGCTACTGCTAAAGGGTTACAAAATAACAGGTATAATAAGACACCACTTACATAAAATCATATAGCTACATAACTTTATGCTTATATAGAGAGAAGTGACTAGAAAAATATTCACCAAAGTGTTGACTCTGGGATGTGGCAACTAGACATTTTCTGTTTTCTTTCATTTTCCCCATTGAGGTGAAACTTACATAACATAAAATGAACCTATCTTCTTTTAAACCTATAACGATGATGTTATTTCTATAAGTAGACAAAGCAATTTAAAAAATTTAAAAATAAAGTTACCTAAGTAGATAGTTTCTATAAATTTATATGATCAATAAATATAATTACTAGTTTCTAGCATAAAAAAATTTTTAATTCTACATTTTACAATATGCTTGCTTTAAACAGTTGTTGTGATTCATAGTGATGCTGTATATAGTTTCCAAGGAGCAGCCGGAGGTTTTAAACCTCCAACCTTGTGGTTAGCAGTCCAGTGCTTATCCTACACTACAATACCAAGACCTCATTTTCAATAGTAGCATTCCTAATTTTGGCTAGAACTTTTATTAAAGACACATGAAAATAAAAGAAACAGATTCACACTAAATTTCTCAGACATACATCTAATGTAAACAACAATATATACCATTATGGAATATACTTACCAAAACAGCCCAGTTGTTTGTATGGCCACTTCTAAAGAACTGCTCTGCTTGATCCTATCAAATAACAGTAAAAAGATTAGAAGAAAAAACCTCACAATTTCCCAGGATAAAGACTGATAAAGAAAACCTAAGAAATATGGAGCTTTTACAGTTATAGTAACAGTTCATAACTATGTAAGTTTACAGATATCCCTGGTGTGGTGCTGTGGTCTAAAGCACTGGACCCAGAGGTCAGACTGAACCACAAGGTCAAAAGTTCAAACTCACCAGCCGCTCCTCGGAAACCCTATGCAGGGTTGTTATGAGTCATAACCGACTCAATGCCACTTAACGCCACCACCAACAAAAGATATCCCAGTATGTCACCAAAATAATAATAATAATAGATCATAGTTTAAGCTACTCTAGGAATAAAAAGCACTGAGCTGGAAATCTGGAGATGTGGGGTTTCTCTTGACGTGGACCCTAAACTAACAGAGTTAACCATGGGTAAGACACTTAACTTCTTTGAGACTCACTTTCTTAATATGCAAAATGAAAAAAAAGTCAACACATCACAGTGCTATTTTGAGAGGATTATATTAGATGTGTGTGCAAGAGCTTCTACTTTGAAAAATTAAGCTCTATACAAATCAAAGCTGTATTGTATAGCTTACATCTTAGTATTTGCCATACCCTGATTATCTACAAAGAAAATAAATATCTTCTCAATAAAGAACATTGAATTTGTTTAATAGATTTAACAGAGGTGTTATTTAAAACTACACCACACCATTTTCCCAACCATGACTAATCTTTTCCATTTGTGTTTATCACCTTAGAAACCATTCTTATTTATCACTTATATTTTTGTTTGTCTTTGCCCAGTAGAATGTATACTCATATCTGTTTCATTCTCGGATTTATCCCAAATAAACTAGGCACATTGCTGATGTTGTTGTTGTTGTTAAATGCGTCTGAGTTGATTCTGACTTACAGCAACTAAAGGAGTTCAGGTAGTGTACTAATTACGAGTCCGACTCCTAAACTCAAGGTCTGCAGTTCAAAACCACTAGCCATTCTATAGGAGAAAGATGAGGCTTTCTGCTCCCATAAAGATTTACAGCTTCGAAAACACTCTGCAAGCTCACTATGAGTTGGAACTGACTCCAAGGCACACTACCACCACGGCCATAGGGTTTCCAAGGAGCAATTACTTGGTTTGAACCACTGACCTCATGGTTAGCAGTCCAATGCTTACCCTACAGTGCCATACCAGGACTCCAATTTGGCACAAAGTTTTTGTTTTTGTTTTTTTTAATTAAATGTTTTTATTTTGGATTGAGTGAAAGTTTACAGGGCACATCATCAGCTTCACATTCAACCATTCATATAGCTTGTTTCATTACATTGATTATTATCCCCTCCATATATCATCAGTTAACAGTGTTTCTCTCTATCCTCTTTAGCTTTTTTTGTTGTTGTTGTTGGGGGAGACTTGCCTTTTTGGAACTTACAGTCTCGGCTTTTAGGGAAGGTTTTTACATTTGTCTGTGGATATCCAGGGCTCATGTATGAGATTACTAACAAGCATTACTGAATAATCAGATGAGGGACAGTTTGCTATGTCTACTAGGTAGCTAAAGTCTGATCCTCAGAGCCTATGGTTTGGACGGTCAACAACGCTTGGGCCCACAGGGGCTTGGCCTCCTGACCGGGTCTGCACTGTCTGCATCTGAATCCTCCTTATTTATTGATTGTTTAAGGGACGCTGCCTGTCTTAGGCGGTCAGTGCGAATTCCTCAGTCTTACCAGTCATTGAGACTCATTGCAGCATGGCAATGGCTCTGTCTTAAGCAGCCGAGGTTCCATGTGATCCTTACCCGTCGGCACAGAGTAAGTTTTGAATAAACATTTTTTAATGAATACATGGTTATAATACCCTTACTGGTAGTGGACAAAGCAAGAAAAACTGTCATCTGAAAAACTGAAACCATATATATTAGGGGTTCCACATAAGGTAAGAAAATATAATATAAAGGCTATACCATAAAGTTATAAATTACAAAAGTTCTTTCTAGGTTGTACTTTAATAATTCCTTTATTAATCACTCTGTAATGACACTACCAGATAAAATGTTTATATCAAAGTCTAATATTTCACTTTAAGTAATATCCTTAAAAGGAGCCCTGGTGGCATAGTGAGTTACAAGTTGGGCTGCTAACTGCAAGGTCAACAGTTCAAATCCATCAGTCACTCCACAGAAGAAAGATAAGGCTTTCGGCTCCCATACAGATTTACAGTCTTGGAAACCCTATAGAGGGTCACTATGTATCAGAACCAACTTTATACCATTCAACCACCACTACCACCAGTAGTAGCCTAAGGGCAGTTTTTCTATCCATATACTCTTTTTAAATGATTAATAATTTAATAATCATTTCTACTGGCTTTCTAAAATCTGAAATTATTTACCTCATTCTTTAATAATGGTCACAAAAGGAAACACAAATGATCAGATAAATGTGCTGAAGCATCATAAAGATACAGAGTTTTATTTTGGGTTGGTTGTTTATCAACACTGTTTTGTTAAATACAGACAGGCTTTCCTCAGACGCTTCTAATTTTCCAGTGTTCTAATCATGAATGATTTATTGATTCTGTAATAACAATTAATATTCTTCCTGTTAAAATTTCATTCAATGTTCAGCCCTCCTGATGTACTGGGTACTTTCATTTACTTTATTTGAACACATCACTATATTTAATTGAGCAAATTCTCTAGCATACTTCCATGTACCAAGTCACTAATCTGCTGAAGTAATTCTGAATTATAAATTGCCATTTTAAGATATGAAAAACCTCAGCATCCAATGCCTTCCCGACACCTAATGAAATATTATTCTAATTAAGTATTAAAATAATAGTGGATATAAACCATACTGACTCCAGATCTGCTTCCAAACAAAATAAATTACTAGAGTCATCAGACTGAAACCCAGTTGATTGATTCCATGTCCTATCAGAACAGTGGTTAAGCTCTCAGCCACTAACTAAAAGATCAGCAGCTCCTACTCACCAGTCACTCTAACGGGGAAAGACAGAGTAGTCTGTTTCAGTACAGATTACAGCCTTGGAAATCCTATGGGGTAATTTGACTTTGTCCTATAGGGTCCCTATGAGTCAGATAATCAGATTAGCTGGGATCAAAGCTGGACTCTATTATTAGCAAATTATTTAGATATTAAAGTACTTGATCTCTCTGTGCCTAAATTTCCTCATTTGTAAAACAATAACAATATTACCTGAGTCACAGAATTTAAGAATAATGACTGAAACAAGGTAACAGCATAACAAATGGAAAACTTGTTGCCATCAAGTCGGACTCAGAGTGACCCCAGATGTTAAAAAGTAGAACTGTTTCATAAGGTTTTCTTAGCTGTAATCTTAATGGAAGCAGATTTTGAGGCCTTTCTTCCATAATGCCACTGGGTAGCTTTGAACATAAGCTATGTGCACCTCCCAGAGACATCTGAAAAAGTAAGCTATCAAGAAATTTTGGTGAAGAATGAAATAAATTGTTAATGAAATGTGTGTGTGTTTCTGACACACATCAAACTAAAACCAAACCCACCATGTCAATTCCAACTCATAGTTACATCCTTCTGGTTTCAAACAGAGGACTTTTTGGTTAACAGCCAAGCACTTAACTACTGTGCCACCAAGGATCCCCATACACATGTAAATGAAATCCAACCCTCTGAAAGGTTACTTGTCATGGTTGGTGTTAAGAGTGAAATCAGTGACCCTGTATGGGGTTTCTGCAGAGTAGTTGGGTGTGAAACACCAGTCTTGGGGTTAGCCATCCAGTGTTTAGTCTATAGTATGGACTACATCCTGACTCCCAACAGCTACTTAAATGCTTAAGAAAAATGGACCACAGTAAATAGAGCAGTAATTTGCAAATTTCAGTTCAGGTTCTAGCTGTGAAATGCATGTAAAATATGTGGCTCTTCAGACATGACTTTCTACATGTAGAAAATGAGAATTACCCCAATTAATATCTAATGTTCCTGCTAGCTCCAAAATTCTTACATCAGTAAGATTTTGTGAAAAGTGGTTTTGTTAGACATTATATTTTTTTTTTTAAAAGTCAAACCAATTGTCACTGAATCAATTCTAACAAACAGCGACCCAATGTTTGCCAGAGCAGAACTGCGCTTTATAGGGTTGTTATCTTATTGGCTGATTTCTCAGAGTAAATTGCCTGGTCTTTCTTCCAGTACACCTCTGAGTGGACTTGAATTACCAGCCTTCCAATTAGCAGCCAAATGCATAAACCATGTGTCCCTACCAGGGCCTCCTTAGACAATAATCACTGCAGTAACTCATTCATTCTAAGAATAGTAAATTAACAATTACTATGGGCCAGAAACCATGTAAAGTATGGTGATTTTTTTTTTTTTAAGTTATTGAAAAGTATGACACTTTCCTTCAAGAACTCAAGAGTTTGTTAAGAAAGCAAGCCATGTAAACACAATACACTTCAATGTAACATTCACTCATTCATCTCTTTAATTGGGTGCATCCCATCAAGGCCCTGAGCACAGAGAATGAGACTGATGAGCTAAAACTGTCCTAGTACTTGCCTTCAAATGTCCAATTGGAGAAACAAACATTAGCAGATATTGCAAATTATAAATTTTATGAAAGAAAGAGTCACAGTATAATGAAAGAGTACTAATGAAGGATCTGATCTGGTCTGGAAGAATCAAGGAAGGTTTCCCCTAAAAAGTAGCATTAAGATTCAAAGGATGAAGAAAGGGGGTTAGATAATTTTGTATAGAGAAAACATGGTCCCTGATGGCAACAGGCAGTTGAAAGGTTTTGAGAAACTGAAAAAAGACCTGGCAATTTGCGCCTGTAGGAAACCTATCAGCTTAGGAAACCTATCAGGCAACAACAACATACTAGGTAACTATACAAACTACAACAGAAAAAGCAAAAAGGAGGGATTAGAAAAAGATCTACGGTGGTCAAGCTTTTACTACATATTAGTAAATAAACACAGGAAATAAGATATATACAAAATGGTAATGTAGACCGGCACAGCAATTGTTTAATTACAAGAGTAATGGTCTCCAAAATGACATATGCTAGATAATCAACTAGGATAAGGGATTAGTAGAAAACCTAGTCATATCTATTTTATTTTTTAAATGCTTTATAAATAAGTATAATGTTGCTGTTGCCAAGTACCATCGACTTAGACTCATAGCCATCCTGTAGAGGGTTTCTGAACAGCAGCTGGTGGGTCTGAAATGCCAACCTTGTGGTTCGCAGTGTAGTGCTGATCTACAGCATCACACAAGGAGTCCACTAGGTATAATAATAATAATAATCCATGAGTAGAGAGAGAATTTGAATGGTCATTATATTTCTTAACTGTTGGGGGGGGTGTCCAAAAAGTGTGGAGTCGACTGGTCTAAGCTCAAAGTTCTGCCCCACCTTCACCCCATTCCATCCCACCCCCAGGAGTGCTGTCGAATATGGAAGACTGGAAAGGCAAGCAGGGACTAATTCTGCTGCACTGAAATAATTCAATGGAAAATAACCTAATCACGTTTACATTTTAAGAAGGTCAATGAAGCATCAAAGTGAGGGAGTTTGGAAGCTTGGGAGGAAATGAGATAAAACGATTTCACTGTAAAATGAGCACTGGATTACTACTACCTCCAAGGTGGTTGCTGTTAAGTGCTGTCCAGTCAGTTCTGACTCACAGCGACCCTGTACAGGGTTTGAACTGCTGACCTTGAAGTTAGCAGCTCATTGCTTATCCTACAGTGCCACAACAAGTGTCCAACCCATAGGTCGATGGTTCAAACCCGCAAGTCTCTCCTCAGAAACTTTATACAGGGTGGCTATGAGTAGGAACCACACTTAACAAGCAAGAAATTATCAGGTTCATGGCTTAAGTTAAGCCAATGGAAATGGAGCGGTGAAAGCAATTTTAGGAGTTCAGAACTAAGTTTTATGTTCTGATTAGACTATGGGGTAGAGAGAGTTGTTGTTAAGTACCGTCGAGTCAGTTCCGACTCATAGTGCCCCTGTATAGGATTTCCAAGGAGCTGCTGGTAGATTTGAACTGCTGACCTTGTGATTTGCAGTACAGTGCGGATCCAACAGGGCCACACCAGAGTTGTTTATTACAATTCCCAAATTTCCAGCTTAGGAGCAATGATATTGGGTTTGGATATGCAGGAGAAAAAGAACGCTAACTTTTTTTATTTGTTTTTTTTAAAAGGGGATAAGGAGTAGGTAGAAGACAAAATTGGACAGATTTTCGAGTGTCTTTTGACTATCCAGATCCCTTGTTGTTGTTAACTACGTGGAGTCGGTTCCTGATTCATAGCGACACTACATAGAGTTTCAGAGGAGCAGCTGGTGGGTTTCAACCACAGACCTTGTGGTTAGCAACCCTGTGCTTATCCTACAGCATTACACCAGGAGTGCACCCAGATACCTTAGCCAGCTAGATATGCAGGACTGAATCTGATGCTAAAGATTTATTTTGTAAAAATGAACTGAAAAAAATAAAGTCGGTGTAGAAGCAATAGTTAAAGCTTTACAGTAGTCCAAAACGTTCTGTGACCAATTTTTCAAATAGGGAGTGAGAGGCCAGAGTCAAAGAAAAAATACTACCCCTATCTGGCTCCGATCAAAGGGGATTTACAGTTAGTAGTAGGAAAGTAAATACTGCACTCCCCTCAGCCGTTTTCACCTGCAAGAGACAGTTCGCACAGAACAGCATACCAGTGCAGCCTGTTTGAAGGCTGACTACAAAGTCTTCCACAGGCTGCTGTGGATCCGATATCAGCAGGGGCACTCACAGCCACAACACAGCCGCCCTCCCAAGGCCCTGCCGCTTAGAGGAACCTGGCTCCTACCTCGATCCGACCAGCAGTCAAACTGCCAAACAGCAACAGCAACAGCCCTACCAGAGCAGCCATAGCTCGGCCCAGGCAGTAGGTGGCGGCCATGTTTGCAGACTTCAGACTTCCCGCACCTGGAGGGGCGGAGCTAATGCCGTAAAGCAACGTGACGGCTTTTCTTTTTTACGATCCCAACTCAATGGGGTGGAGATCCGCGCCTGCGCATCGCCCAGTTTCTGGAGTAGCCATTGGAGACCTGTGCTTCCCCGTGGAGCTGAGCAATATAGAGGCTATCCGCCGTATATATTTAACTGGACTTTCATTTTTGTAGTTGTTGTTGTTGAGTAGCGTCGACTCAGTTCCAACTTATACCGACTTTGTATAGGATTTCCGAGGAGTAAAGGTCGGTGGTTCAAGCTCACCAGCTACTCCTCAGCAACCCTATACAGGGTCACTATGGGTCGGAACCGACTCAACGGCACTTAACAACAACAATGGTGGATTTGAACCATCGACCTCGCGGCTAGCAGTCCAGTACTTATCACACAGCGTCACACCAGGATTCCTTTCAGTTTTATTCTTGTAATATTTAAGAAAATTCCAAAACATAGAAAAAACCCGAGATCCCGTAAGCTTTATGAAGTTATTTACCGTTTTGCGTGGCACCGTCAATTTACTTGAATTCATCATGACTGGTCTGATGGTAACAACAAGCATTTTGACGCAAAAAGGTACTTAATTGGATAGAACATAAAAATAAAGTTGGGTTGGTGCTGCAACAAAAAGGTTTAGTGCCTAACAATTATTAAAAGGAAAGTAGTGAATTTTTTGTTTCCTCCGTTTCTTCTGTAATTATGGAGCAAAACCCTATCGCGGTCAGTATGAGAATTTATTAAGGTCAGATATATGAAACACCTGGCACATAGTAAGCGCTAATCTTTATATACATTAAGTTTAAAATTCTTTTTACCCAGCATGGGCATACTGCCTTATCACTTTAATATTTAGTGGTGTTGTAGAGTATAATAGAAGTCTAGCTGAAATTAAAAGTTGTTGTTGTTAAGTGCCGTCGAGTCGATTCTGATCCACAGAAACCCTAAATAAGGTTTCCAAGGAGAAGCTGGTGAGCTTGAACCACCAAACGACTTTGCAGTGTGACGCATTAACCCACAGTGCCACACCAAAGGGTTTTTATTAAGCAACAAGGAAATTTACAAATTGGAACTCACAAGGTGCAGAAAGATTCTGAACTAAGCGATCCAAGAAGGAAACAGCTGAGGAAATTTTTATAAGAAAATACAAGGAACTTCAGTCAAAATTATGTGTTTAGTTGACATTTAGGTGTGGTTACGAATCGGGCTGCGAACCTTAAGGTCAGTGGTTCGAAACTACCAGCCGCTCTGCGGGAGAAAGATGAGGCTTTCTACTCCCGTAAGGATTTACACCCTCGGAAACCCTGTACAGGGTCGCTATGGGTCGGCTCCGACTCAAAGGCACTTAACAACAACAACAACATATCTGATTGGTAGATTACATACATTTTTTAAGTTTTATTTTTTTTTTTTTTAAGTTACAGGCAAAAATTAAATTGGTCCATCAGGGCTCCAAACAATCATGAGGCCCTCCTTGTGCGAAAGCAGGGCCTCCTGACATACATAATTCTAAACTTTATTTTGAGTGAAATAAATAACTGTTCTGACAACTGTTTTGGACCCAGCTTCCAAAATAGTAAGCAAATCCCTAGCAAGCAAAATTCATTGTTCTCTAAAATTATTTACCAAGTAATTTTCTCAGGGTACAGTGAAGACATATAGGAATAATAGACTGCCATCCTGAAACATAGATCACTTTGATTCCTGATGGAGTTTTAACCTCAGTCTTTGGACTCCTAACCTCAGATTAAGGTTAGACTCAGATATAGTTACCACAAGTAGGTAGTTTAAAAGAATACAAATTTCTTTTTTCTCATAGTTGTGGAGGCTAGAAGTCCAAAGGAGTGTCTAAACTCTGTTAATTCCATCTGTAAACATCCATTAAAAATCGGAACATGGAATGTAGGAAGTATGAATGTAGGAAAATTGGAAATTGTAGAAAATGAAATGGAACACATAAACACCGATATCCTAGGTATTAGTGAGGTGAAATGGACTGGTATTGGCCATACTGTATCTGAAAACCACATGATTTACTATTACCAGAAATGACTAATACAGGAGGAATGGCCTCACATTCATCATCAAAAAGAACATTTCTAGATCTGTTTTGAAGTACAATGCTATCTGTGACAGGATAATATCCATACATCTAAAAGAAGACCAAAGTCCTGGTGTGGAACTGTGGGTTGTGGTGCTGTGGGTAAAAGCACTGGACTGCAAAGTTGGTTTGAACCACAAGGTTGGCAGTTCAAGCTCACCAGCTGCTCCTTGGAAACCCTACACAGGGTCTCTTTGGGTGGGAACCAACTCGACAGCACTTAATAACAAGGTAGATCAGTTAATACCACTATTATTTAAGTATATGTACCACCATTAAGCCAGTGATGATGAAATTGAAGAATTCTACCAACTTCTTCAGTCTGACATTGATCAAGCATGCAATCAAGATGTATTGATAATTACTGGTAATTAGAACACAAAAGTTGGAAACAAAAAGGAAGGAGCAGTAGTTGGAAAATATGGCCTTGGTGATAGAAATGATGCTGGAGATCACATGATAGAATTTGCAAGACCAATCAATGACTTGTTCATTGCAAATACCTTTTTGAAACAACATAAAAGATGACTGTACACATGGACCTCACCAGATGGGAATGCACAGAAATCATATTGACTACATCTGTGGAAAGGCTCCATATCATCAGCCAAAACAAGGCCAAGGGCAGACTATAGAACAGACCCTCAATTACTCATATGCAAGTTCAGGCTGAAGCTGAAGAACATCAAAATAAATCCACAAGAACCAAAATAAGACTTTGAACATATCCTACTTGAATTTAGAGATTATCTCAATGATTAAGGACAAATTTGATGCATTAGACACTAAAGGTCGAAAACCAGAAAGATTGTGTGAGGACATCAAGAACATCATACAGGAAGAAAGCAAAAAGTCTTTGAGAAAACAAGAAAGAAGGAAAAGACCAAAATGGATGTCAGAAGAGACTATGAAACTTGCTCACCAGCATAGAGTTGCAAAAGCAATTTGAAGAAATGAGGTAAAGAGCTGAATAGAAATTTTCAAAAAGCATCTCAAGAAAAACTGGAGTTAGAAAACCAAAAGGAAAAAGCATGCTAAGCATTCCTCAAGCTCAGGGAACTGAAAAAATATTCAAGCCTCTACTTCCAATATTGAAGGTTTGAACTTAAGGATGGTGATTCAAGCTCACCAGCTGCTCCTCCAAACCCCTATACAGGGTTGCTATGGGTCAGAACCAACTTGAAGGCACTTAATAAGAACAACAAATGGGCAGAATATTGAATGATGCAGAAAGCATCAAATGAAGATAGAAGGAATATACAGAGTCACTGTACCAAAAAGAGATGGTTGCTGTTCAACCATTTGAAAAGGTAGCATATGATCAAAAGCCAGTGATAGTGAGGGAAAAAGTCCAAGGTACACTGAATACATTGACAAAGACCAAGGCTCCTGAAATTGATGGAATACAAATTGAAATCTTTCAATACACTGATGTAGCACTGGAGGCATTCACTCATCTATGCCAAGAAATTTGGAAGAGAACTACCTGGCCAACTGACTGAAAGAGATACATAATTGTACCCATTTCAAAGAGAATATGGAAATCACCAGACAACATCATTAATATCCCATGCAAACAAGATGTTGCTAAAGATAATTTAAAAACGGCTACAACCATATGTTGACAGAGAACTTCCAGAGGTTCAAGTTGGATTCACAAAAAAATGTGGAATGAGGGATATCATTGTTAACATCAGATGGCTCTTGGCTGAAAGCAGAAAATTCAAGAAAATGTTTACTGTGCTTTATCAACTATGCAAAAGCATTTGATTGTGTGGATCATGACCAACTATGGACAGCATTGAAGAGAATGAGTATTCCAGAACACTTAATTGTGCTCGTGGGGAACCTATACATAGACCAAGAGGCAATTGTTCAAATAGAACAAGGAAACACCGAATGGTTTAAAATTAGCAAAGGTGTGCACCTGGACTGTATTCTTTCACCATACTTAATCAGTCTGTATGCTGAGTAAATAATTAGAGAAGCTGGGTTATATGAAGAAAAACATGGCATCAGGATTGTAGGAAGACTCATTAACAATCTGCGATATGCAGATAATACAACCTTGTTTGCTTAAAGTGAAGAGTGCTTAAGATACTTACTGATGAAGATCAAAGACCACAGCCTTCAGTATGGGTTGCACCTCAATATAAAGAAAACAAAAATCCTCACCACTGGACCATTAAATAACATCAAAATGAAGAAAAGATTGAAGTTGTCAAAGACTTCATTTTGCTCAGATTTACCATTAACACTCATGGAAGCAGCAATCAAGAAATCATATGATGTATTGCATATTGTGCAAATCTGTTGCACAAGACCTCTTTAAAGTATTCAAGAGCAATGATGTCTGTTTGAGGACTAAGGTGCTCTTGACACTAACCATGATATTTACAATGACCTCATATGCATGCAAAAGTTGGACAATAAATAGGGAAGACAGTAGAAGAATTGATGCATTTGAGCTATGGTGTTGGAGAAGAATAGTAAAAGCTGTTCTTGGCTTTTACTATTCATGGTTGCCAAAAGAACAAACCAATCAGTGTTAGAAGAAGTACAGCCAGAATGCTTCCTTGAAGCCAGGATGGCCAGACTTTATTTCTCATACTTTGGACATATTGTCCGGAGGGACCAGTCCCTGGCGAAGGATATCATGTTTGGTAAATGGATGGTCAGAGAAAAAGAGGAAGACCCCCAGCGAGATGGATTGGCATAGTGGCAGCGGCAATGGGCTCAAATGTAGCAATGATTGTGAGGTTGGCACAGAACTGGGCAGTGTTTTGTTCTGTTGTGCATAGGGTCACTATGAGTTGGTAATAACTCTAACAACAATAACAACAACAACTTGTGGT